GAAACCAAATGTTAAATCGCGATTATTTTAGAAGCACTTAAACATGAAACAATTTAAACGAGAAATGATAGTCAAAAACATGATTCTATTTACATAAGAAACAAACGTAATTAAAACCTGAAAATATTTGGATTGGAACTGTTCGTTTTGAATTATATTACAACAAAGTCGGATAATCAAAAAACATTATCATAGGAAATACTAGCCTTATCCTAAGAAGACGAAATGCAGTATGGAAGCCTAATGTCAGACTAGGCCCGATTCCGCCCTTAGCCTTCGCTAGCAGCGGGTCCAGGAGGAAAGCTTCGACAGGCAGACATATCACACTGCTTGTTTCGATCTGACAGCTTCTGCTGCATGCGTTGTTCCAAACGTATTGGTGTTACCTTTTCTTTGGAGTTAACAAAACAGAGAGAGAGAGAGAGAGAGAGAGAGAGAGAGAGAGAGAGAGAGAGAGAGAGAGAGAGAGAGAGAGAGAGAGAGAGAGAGAAAGAGAGAGAGAGAGAGAGAGAGAGAGAGAGTTTTCTCTTAGCTGAATTTAGATTTCATTTAAGAGAACAATTTCATAAACACATGTTGCTGGTTTCTGGTAGTGACAGACTTATTAAGCGATCTTAAGTAGATCCAAATTGGCAAACCCTGACTAAAATTGGCTGACAACACCCAAAACTCCTGCCCCAAAGAACTGTCTTGTCGTTACACACCTGAATACGCCGGAGTGAAAGGAAATGAAGGAGCCGACCATCTGGTAGTGTCTGAATGAGTTAGTGGAGGAAGAAGTATTGATAGGGCAGACATAAAGAATGCGCTGCGTTCCAGTGACGATGAGATAAGTGAGTCAGAGACGCTGAACTGCTTGGGTAAAATTGATATAAAACGAAGACAAAATTGCAGAAACAAGTTTAAATATACAAATCAACTCCCACTAGTTATGGTGAGTATGGAGACACAGAGCCGGCTGCTGCATCGGCGGACGGCGCACACATGGGCCGGACTACGGCCAGCTCCTGATATAAGGCCGTACAGCTCAAACAGGAATTCCTGTTTTTGTGAGGCCGGCGAGGCTGGTCTGCGGTAAAAGTTGTTATGGAGCAGATTGTACACAAATCGAACTACAGTTGAAATAATTTGCAACATGTCTTATTGAATGAATTATTATTCTGAAGATAAATAAATGGTCTATGACAAAATATTTATCTTCAAAATGATAATTCACACAATAACATGTTGTAAATTAATTACACTGCAGTTTAATCTGTGTATAAATCTACTTGATAACTGTTACCACCGACCGGCCTCGCCAGCCTCCCGAAAAACGGGAATTCCTGTTTGAGCTGTACGGTATTACACCTGGAGCTGGCTGTGGGCCGGACCTCTGTACTAGGATGTAAATACGAACAGCAAGTAACAAGTAACATTTTCTGCTGCTGAATTTCGAGTGGTGTTAAGTTCTAGCTGGGTTTCATCAGCTTCGCTGCAGAAATATCAGCAGTAACCGCTGTAATGGCACTTATATGTTGCATAAAACTGGGCTCTCCTGTCAACTTAGGCCGTTAGCTGGAAAGCCGCCGATCGCTTAGTGGGAGTTCTCTCCCTTGGCTGGATTGCGAACACAGAGCGGAAAAGTCACGAATCAAATGACATTCTTACCTATCATCATACGGTTGCGTGTACGGTTGCGTAGTCATCATACGGTCATCATAGGGTTTGGGTTAGGGATAGGGTTAGCGGCGTTAGGGGTTGGGATACGGTTAGGGTTAGGGTTAGGGATAGGGTTAGGGGTAGGGTTAGGGGTAGGCTTAGGGGTAGGGTTAGATGTGACAATTTTGACGCAGGAGTTCCAAATACTGGCCGACAATCTAATGCTAGTGGGAGTGGCGCCACGGGAATTCTCCCAAATATGACTTCAATAGCGCGCGGCTGGTGCCCCATCGGTGGCGTATTGTCCGTTTCAGTAGCATCCGCAGTCCATCGATTGTGTGGGTGTGTATGTGACTGTGCGCGATTATTTGGAACTCCTGCGTCAAAGTTGTCACATCTAACCCTAACCCTAACCCTAACCCTACCGCTACCCCTAACCCTACCCCTAACCCTACCCCTAACCACGCAAATTTATCGGCGGTCATTAAGTCATACAGATCTGCAGGAGTCACATCCGTGGCAACTAATACCACTTTTATGTAAGGATATATTTAATTTAAAAAAAAACCCACCCAGGTTTCCCTGAAGCGTCATATAAACAGCCAGATCTGGGGGACACACCCAAGCATTGGCAGCCCTGTTGTCAACCTCACTGCCTTTTTTTATTCGTGACTTTTCCGCTCCGTGTTCGCAATGCAGCCAAGGGAGATGACTCCCACTAAGCGATCGGCGGCTTTCCAGCTAACGGCCTAAGTTGACAGTTCTGATACCAACTTTATCAGGGACGCGGTCAATCCATGGAGAATTTTCAGCAGTTTCGACAATAAGGTCACTTAAGTTATAGAAAATATCTCCTAACAACTTTTCAGTCTTGTATGTGCAGTCGAATCAAATGAAATATTTTTCTCTATAACATATTTAAACAGTTTTTATATAGCTGCTAAATTAGCATTTCACTAATGCGATCAATTCATGGAGAAGTTGAGCTCTCCTGAAGAAGAGTTTTCAGCACTTTGAACATCAAAGTCACTTATATTGTAACAATTATTACCTCCTAATATCTGTTCAAAATATTTAAGCAGTTGAGCAACATCTCCAACAACCAGTGCTGTGCGCAAATGCAAACAGTACCTTTATCAGTCTGTTTATTTACTCGTGTTGTCTTTCTTCTTCATGCTTGGTTTTGATCTCTATAGCACAACTGGACATTTTAGTTCGGTTTCTATGCTGCCTTGCCAGTGACACTAACTCTACTTGTAGTTCATGATATTTAAGCAACATGTCAATATCTTCAGCGACCAGCGCTGAATTTCAACACCTTGGATTCTAGTAACAGTCTCACTATATTCCGTTCTTGCCTTTCCTCTGCATACTTTGTTCTCATCATTCTACCACAACTGAAAAGCTACGTCTGGTCACTATGCTGGCTCTTCAGTGACGCCAACTCAGCCTGAATTTCAGGATCTCTAAGCAGCTGATCCACGTCTTCCGGCTGCACCCGCCTGCGATCCGACCTCAAAGAATGGCCAGACTTGCTGCTGGGCGCGGATTTGCTGGACTTGGAGCTGCTCGCAGACCGCGACTGGCGTTGGAGAAGATTCAGAGAAATGGTCCTGTGGAGGTTTTTGTTGGAGGTCATGTCGGAGCTTCGGGTCAGCCAAGGGTGTCTGCATGCTTGGCTAGCAGTTAAACGTTCATTAGGGTCAAGGGTCATAGTTTTGTTGATGAAATCTTTGGCCAGTGACGAAATGTCTTTCCAGTGCTGAAAAAAAAAAGAAGACAAAAATAGTGCTATTATTAAAACTGCTGTGAATAACAGAGAAACTGGGTGGATTAAAACAGTGTTCCTCAAACTTCTTAGACTCACGGCCCAACAAAACAAGGTAAATTGTTTCACAGTCCACTAAAACAAGGTAAATTGTTTCACAGTCCACTAAAACAAGGTAAATTGCTTAGATGACCACCAAAACAAGGTAAATTCTTCTTCTTCATGTTCATCAGCTGTAAACTGGCGGAAAGTTCTGGTTGTTCATCCACTTCTGGACTGCAGTCCTCTTCCAGACCCTGAGTGTTGCGTGTGCATCCGTTTGAAAGATCTGACTCATTTGTATGCATAATGCTGGTTCCTTGCCTCTAGGGCAGATGCACTCCGACTTTGAAAGAAGCTCCTAATTATCGTTGCTTATAACACGCTTTTGGGTAGGCAGTCGGTCTATTTTGATATCTGCAGCAATGAACCTCAAGAGCTCGCAATGCTGAAGAAGAAGAAGTGGGTCTATTCTTGTTTTCTCAATAGTAGGACCACGGAACCCACACGAGGAACAAAGTAAATTGTTCCGCGGCCTAGCAAAACAAGGTAAATTGTTCCACGGCCTACCAAAATAGGATAAATTGTTCTATGGCCCACCAAAACAAGATCAATTGTTCCATGGCCCTCTAAAACCATGTAAATTGTTCCGCCGCCCACCAAAAACAAGGTCAATAGTTTCGTGGCGCACTAAAACAAGGTGAAATGTTCCACGGCCCACCAAAATAAGGTCAACTGTTGCGTGGCCCACTAAAACAAGACCAGTTGTTCCTCGGCACACCTGATAGCTGACCAAACACTAAACAACACACAAATGTTAAAAAAAAAAAAAAAAAAGTAGTTTATGTGTAAAATCCCATGTAATACAAATAACAGTTTTCAGCTATTAAGATATATGCTGCTGCTTAGAGAGTACAAAATAGAATACGTGTGCCTGGAGCGGTGTTTCTGATATACGCAGCGCTACAATAGCATCCATTCAATTTCTGTGCGTGGTTTTTATCACTGATGTGCTGGCGACAGTCTTTTCACTGGCTTGCCGGTAAGGCCACGGCAAGTACAGGAATAGCCATGGACCGGGCCGACATTCTCGTTGCTCTCAAGGAGGCGGGACGAGAAGATGATCCAGGAGACGACGTTGAATCGGCAACACTCAAAAGACTGCAAGAGTCAAAAGGGGTATCGCCAAACATGAACAGTTGAGTTAAGTTGAGTGGAGTCAAGAATTGACATCACAGCACTCGGGGCATTCCCATGCATGCTCTGTCCTCATCTTCAGAAGCAAGCGTAAAGTTCCAATACTGATGGTACCGGTCACAGTCTGGTAAAAAGTCCGTCTTGCCTTTCCTCTGCAAATATGAACACTATACAGGTAGCCAAAGAAGAATAGTAAACCAACAAATAACTGGTGTTATCAGTCGCCACACGCTGAGGGATATACTGAAGATGCGATCTGAGCGCTTATGGACAGTCTAATGTGCAGGGAGCGTAATCTGTAAATTAACTATTTAATTAACTAACTAGCTAACTAACTAACTAACTAACTAACTAACTAACTAACTAACTAACTAACTAACTAACTAACTAACTAACTAACTAACTAACTAACTAACTAACTAACTAACTAACTAGCTAGCTAACTAACTAACTAACTAACTAACTAACTAACTAACTAACTAACTAACTAACTAACTAACTAACTAACTAACTAACTAACTAACTAACTGACACAAAATAGGGGAGTCCTAAAAAAAGTAAAGGTAAAGTCGGGAAATGTGAACCAGCGTCATTACACACGGTTATAAAGTACTATAAGTGCTGTCCGCCTGTGTCGCCATCCCCACGCAACTCCGTAGCTCCAGCGACGTTCCTCCATTTACCCCAGAGTGTTAACTCTGGTACCCATTACCCAGAGGCTTGGTAAACCCCGGGAACCGCCCGGTTTCGAACACCGATCGTGTGCTGCAGCGAGTCGCAGCTGGATTTGAAAGCGAGTCTCCTATCGACTGAACTAACGCGGCCCCTGTGGAGATTCCTTGAGGTGTTAAACCCACAGACCTGGAGAGAACAACAATTTACCCTATCTTGCTACATAATTAGGCCCGCAGGTTAAAGAATCACTATCATCAAGTGCATTGCCAACAGGCATGAGCGATCATGCCTCTCCACAATCGGCGATCTGCAACTGAGTGTATCAGTTCGTGTGCTGACACCCCTCCATGCCATGAAAAAAGACTGTCAAGAATCTTCACACACGTTGTCTTCCACTGTCTCTCTTTCCACAGATCTTTTCAGTGATCACAACATGTTCCATTTTCCCTCTTCTCATAACATGACCAAAAATTGTGACTGTCTTTTCTGGTCTTTATGAAAAGTTGTCTTAGAGCATTTGCCTCTTTTCAAACATCTGGGTTGCTCTTCTTAACTAACCATCGAATTCTAAGGATTCCTCTGTAAAACCACATCTCCGAGGCCTCAAGACCATAATTTGCTCTTCAAAGACTAAAACAACTGATATAATTATGGAGTGGGACAGACAGACTACACAAATTAGATTTCTAAGAGCAGGCATCTTTCTCATTGCAACATACGCCCGTGAGATCTGGACACTTACTAAACAAGCTGAACAGCGCATAAATAACTTTGAATACAAAGGGTATAGACGGGTTCTAAGAATAGCATGGGTGAAGAAAAGAACAAATCTATCCATACTTTAAGAACTGAATATTGAAGAAGGATGTCTATTAAAGACGATGGAATATAGAAATTGAAATATTTTGGTTACTTGAAACGTCACGAAAGTTTAGAGAGAGAGAGAGAGAGAGAGAGAGAGAGAGAGAGAGAGAGAGAGAGAGAGAGAGAGAGAGAGAGAGAGAGAGAGAGAGAGAGAGAGAGAGAGAGAGAGAGCAATCATGTAAGGGTATATGCCTGGGAAGAAAGGAAGAAGAAGGCCAAAGAGAAGATGGGTCCAGGATGGGGCGGATGATCTCCAGATGCGTGTATCGGACGCGGATCATCTTGCTTGTGATTGAGAAGTTTTCCGGAGGGTTGTTATGGGAGCAAGCTTCTGCAAAAAACACGCTACTGATTGACTAACTTACTGTGGGCAACATAATTGTATTAGCTGATGTTCCAAGTGGTAAATTAATGATAGCAACATCAAAAGAGAAAGCAAAATGAGGTACCTGGGTATCACTTTCAACAGAAGCCTGTTCGGTGCTTTATTGATATCCTACCCCAAACAGGGAAAATCCCCAGGTCACAGAACAGTCTAATATTTCAGGGGGTGGTTGACAGGCTGCATGCAGTCGTGGGACCTATGCTGCACGCAGTCGTGGGACCTAGGCTCTCGTGGGACATATGTGGGTTGGTGTTATGGTCAGTTCTAGATGTTTTGGGGTCTTTAAAAAGCATCAGAAAGCCGGGAAATCCAGTCTTACCACCCTAGAAAATGTTGGACTGTCTTGTGACGTCATCTGGGGGTAGGATATTAATAAAGAACCGCCTGTTCGTGTATCATGTAGAGGCAGTTGTCACATGAAAAGGGCCTTTTTGGGGGCGAGTGAACAGTGCGGAGGCACAGATGGAGCATCATGGTCTGAGGAGAATGGTGCTGCGAGGAGCGACCAGGAGATCTGGCCGACGCTCACCACTCAGGAGAAAGGTGAGACGGATCTACCGACTGTTACGAGAAACAGCGAGTTGTTTGCTTGCTTGCTGCTGAAGATGGAAACGAAGCGCTTATGGCAATGTCCCAAGTACCATGATGTCGATTCTCAATTAAACATTAAACATCACCAACCAATACACCGATCAATCTACGAGACCATCACCCAACCAACTAACCAACACACACACAACCCAACTATCCAAGTAACACACCAAGTAACTAATTAATCGACACTATACACAAAGCCCAACGTAAACACGAGACACAATACCAACTATCCAACACACTGCTAACCAACACACGAACTGGCAAACCAACCTATCATCATCATCATCATCATCATGTACCCTGCCAACTGGCGAAGGCGCTCATGCGTCTCCAC